TAGAACCCCTTTACACCCTTTTATAAACTACTGAGGATGGAGGGATGGGCATTACAAAGTGGCACAGGAAACTGCGGTGGTGATGAATATATTCATTATCCCGACTGTGGTGATGGATGGCGTAACAGCTAAATTTTACGAGGCGACTTGACTTGGCTGTGGTGTCAGTGTTGCTGCAAAAGTATTTTGTAAATGTGATTAGCATCTACAGTCAGTTGACTTTAAGAAAAGGGAAATTATCCCCCAACAAGGTAGGCGAGCCTAATCCAATCAGCTAAAGACTTTATAAGTAAAAACTGAGATTACCGCCAGGCGTGGTGGCTCTCGCCTATAATCCCAGCACTTTGGGAGGCTTAGGTGAGAGGACTGCCTGAGCCCACGGGTTCAAGACCAGCCTGGACAACTTGGCGAGACCTCATCTCTATAACAAATGTTTAAAAAATTAGCCATGCGTGGTGGCGCGTGCCTGCTGTTTCAACTACTTGGAAGGCTGAGGCAGAAGGATCACCTGAGCCCAGCAGGTCAAGGCTGCGGTGGCCATAAGCATGCCACTGCACTCCAGCCTAGGCAACAGAGTGAGACTCCAACACAAAAAACAAAACAACAACAAAAAAACTATTCAATAATATATTAATCTAGGTTAATGTTTATGTATAATGATGTCCATATTTTTTATTTTTAAAAAGGTTTTATTTTCCAAAACAAAAAAAAAATCAGGAAAAGAGTGGTATTTTTTAATACTTTTGCAAATCACTTTAGTATCTGGCTTAAAAGAATACAGCTGGATTCTCACACCTGCTTCATCACTCAATATGTTACAACACGCCATTTTGGTCAAAGTCTATAGAGGAAATTTGGCCTTGATCAGATATATAGCCGGAAAAGAGAGGATTATTTTACTACTCCCAACAGCCCACTTTTCTCTGACAACACATCGACACTTAACAAGCACTTGACAAGCGGTGGTTTCTTACAGAAGTACAATGCAGAATCAGGTACCACATCGGCACACCTGCAGACACTGTTTCATTAAAATCCACTGGTCTCCACTTTGGGAGGCCGAGGCAAGTGGATGGCCTCAGCCTGTGGGTTCAAGACTAGCCTGGGCAACTTGGCGAGACTTCGTCTCTACAATAAATTCAAAATGAGCTGGGTGTGGTAGCGTGCACTTGTAGTTCTAGCTCCTTGGAAGGCTGAGGCGGAAAGATCACCGGAGCCCGGCAGGTCAATGCTGGGGTGCCTGCGAGCATGCCACTGCACTCCAGCCTGGGTGACGGAGTGAGACTCCAATTCAAAAAAAAAAAAAAAAATCCTCTGGTCTGTCTTGGATTTTGAATGCATCTTTTACCCATATATTATTTTGTCACATCACATATTGGTCTTCAGAAAATATTGATTCACAGAGTTATGCCGACCTTCCAAATATTGACATATTTCATCATATAATATCAAAACAATCATATTGGTTAATTTCATCAACAGTCTAATCAGAAAAGTCTTTAAACATTAGGAAATTTCAAGCTCATGGTAAAATACGAATTTTCCAATTCTAATTTTTGTTTGAAAACTCAAATTTTATCATTGCCAAACACTGCCAGTTGTTTTTCTTGAAGTAACAGGCTCATGTCATTCATTCTCAAGAAAATGTCTTCCAAATACTCAAGTTAAAATAAACATAATTTTTCTGTAGTTATTCTTTCAAAAATGAAAATGCTATTCCATATCTTACAAAAAGTAGCTAGTTCATCTCACAAACGCTTTTCATTAAGACAACCATCAAGCGGTGGCTCACGCCTATAATCCCAGGTCTTTGGGAGGCTGAGGTGAGAGAATTGTCTGAGTCCACAGGTTCGAGACCAGCCTGGGTAACTTGGCGAGACCTCATCTCTACAATAAATAAAAAAATTAGCCAAGCACGGTGGCATATGCCTGTCGTTCCAGCTACTTGGAAGGCTGAGGTGGAAGGAGCACCTGAGCCCAGCAGGTCAAGGCTACGGTGGTTGGGAGCGTTCCACTGCACTCCAGCCTGGGCAACAGAGTGAGACTTCAACTCAAAAAAAAAAAAAAAAACAACCATCATCCTTTGATACATAGCAGGAGTGGTACGTGGTATAACAGTCCCCATTTTGACAACATTAAAAAGACATGCACTGAAAAGTCATAAATGACTAAAATTAATCATTTTTACTGCATCATAAAAAAATTAAGTGACACTAGCTTTCTTTCTTCTTTCCTTTTCTTCTTTTTGGCAAGCATGTGGCAGAAACGAATGCCATGATTACTAGGTCAGTTTGTGGCCACTGCCTTGTTTTGTACTAAGGTACCAGCAGTTTTAGTCTATCACTGCTTTTGTATCATCAGTATAAATGTCAACAGGAAGAAAACAAATAATATCACCTTCATGTTAGTATAAAGCATGTTTGGATCTCACTGACCCCCTGCAAGAGTCTCAGGTTCTCCCCCAAGTCTCACAGACCAAATTTTGAGAACTGCTATTCTAAAGTAATACACTCCACATGCTGAAGTGATGACAGGAACATCAGTGACACCATCATTTGTAGAAGGTAGAGCGATCTTGATCAGAAATAAAAAGCTGGGGAACTTGCCGCAAAGCCACATTTGCACAGCAAGTTCATTTTTACTTATATATGTCTATCAGAAGGGATAAATTTATACATACCTGGATAATAATCAGTGAAATTGTACATATTATTCTGATTGTGATTTATCATGGGCATTCTACATGATATGGCTTATTATTAAGAGACTTCATAATCAAATTTCTAATCTAATTTTTTTTGCGATAGCATCTCACTCTGTCCTGCAGGCTGGTGTGCAGTGGCATGATCATAACCCATCACAGTCTCCAAATCCTGGGCTCAAGTGATCCTCTTACGTCAGCCTCCCAAGTAGCTGGGACTACAGGCACATGCCACCATACCTGGCTAGTATTAATTTTTTGTAGAGACATGGTCTTGCTGTATTTCCCAGGCTGGTCTCCAACTCTTAGGCTCAAGTGATCCTCCTGCCTTGAACTCTCGAAGTGCTGGGAGTATGGGTGTGAGCCATCACTCTCAGCTCTAAACTGATTATCAAAAAACTAAATGTAGTATTTAACATTTCTTCAGGACAAAATTAAGTTGAAGAGAGTTGCAAGTTTTTTAATGGGCCACTTTCAGTTTAAGCGCTGCTAAATAATGAAGGCTAGTCATTGACAAGGGGGACCCCAAAAAACCCAGAATGTATTTATAAAATGTTGTTTACTTATTCTCACATATTAAAGCTTCAGTCACCTTCAAAGTACTCTCTGTATGATGCAACAAACCTACTGAGATGCTTTTTCCACTGCTCAAAACAATTTTTGAACTTGCCAATTTGGATGTCTATTAGTGCTTCTGCTGTTTTTTGTTGTGCCTCTTCCACATCGGCAAAACATTTCCCCTTGAGGACTTTTTTCATCCAGGGAAACAAAAAAAGTTGCTTGGAGTGAGAGCAGGGGAATAGGGAGGGTGCAGCATGGGGGTCATGCTGATTGGAGTCAAAAACTGCTGCACACTCAGCATGGTGTGGGCAGGTGCGCTATGAAACCAGCCATCATGAAATGGGTAAACACATTGGAAGACTCTCCAAAATAAACTCACTGAAGCTGAACGCAGCCTCTCATAATACTAGCTGGTACACTGATGCTGATGCATTCCTAGAAAACTTACCTAGTGGGGGAGCCTGTACTACAAGGGACACGCCCTCCAAAAGATAACTTTGGGGTTTTTTGGTCCCCCGCCTTATAACCTATAATGCCATAAATTTTAATTCAAGTGAAATTTGCCATGTACACTATTGGGTCAAATTAATCATTATACTTAGTGATTTTAACATTTAGACCACTGAAAGATATACTAGAGAATAATACAGACATTGAAAATGCAATACTTATGAAAAAATAACGCTTTTCAATTTAAAAAAATTGTCTTCTAATGGACAGGAAAGCAAACAAACAAAAACAAAAATGTTGATTTGGGAACTGTTTAAAACAAAGCAGAGTGGCCGGGCACAGTGGCTCATGCCTGTAATCCTAGCACTTTGGAAGGCAGAGGCGGGAGGATCACTTGAGTCCAGGATTTCAAGACTTGGTAAGACCTTGTCTCTACAAAAAAATTTTTTAAAAAAATAACTGGGAGCCGGGCTCGGTGGCTCAGCCTGTAATCCCGCGCCTTTGGGAGGCTGAGGTGAGTGGACTGCCTGAGCCCACGGGTTCAAGACCCACCTGGGCAACTTGGCGAGACCTCATCTCCACAATAAATCAAAAAAAAATGAGTCGGGTATGGTAGCGCGCACCTGTAGTTCCAGCTACTCGGAAGACTGAGGGGGAAGGATCGTCAGAGCCCAGCAGGTCAAGGCTGCAGTGGCCAGGAGCGGCCACTGCACTCCAGTCTGGGTGACAGAGTGAGACTCCAACTCAAAAAAAAAAAAAAAATAGCTGGCATGTGGTGGCAAGCATGTGTGGTCCTAGCTACTCTTTGGGAGGCAAAAACAGAAGGTTCGCTTGAGCTCAAAATCACTTGAGTCTAGGATTACTTGAGCCCAGGAGTTGCAGTCTGCGATGAGCTATGATCGTGCCACTGCACTCCAGCCTGGGCAACAGAGTGAGACCCTGATTCAAAATAAAGTAAAAAAAATAAAAAAATAAAATAAAGCAGAATGTATATGACCACTTATGGGATAACCCATGTTTAAGCTATACTTAAATTTCAGTTATTGAATCATGTAACCTAGTAACTCAAGCTATAAAATGTCACTTAAAAAAATTTTTTTAATTTTAAAGATGTGGGGTACAATTCACGGTTAGGTATACAAATGTTCATTATGCAGGTATCCTTGTGCCCCGCCTCCCCTGGCAGTTCCTACTACTGCCAATCCCATTCCCCCCCATAAAATTATATTTCAATTCATACAATTTAAACGTTATAAAACCAAAATGATAACAAAAAAGGTGAACTCACTCGATCTGCTAATCCTCCAGGAACTATAGTCCTTACAACCACGCCACTGGATTTTACTCCAACTATTCCAAAACCTAATCCAGAGCCATCATTAATGAGCTCAACATCTTCAATATGGCCCCAACGAACCTACAAATTAACAGCAAGTAAGAGTTCCAGTGTCAGTAAAACACAGATTCTTAGCTTTCCAAAATGGTAATTACTTAAGTAACTGATTCGCAACAAATCAAGCATTCATACAATTAATCAAGGCAAATTTCTAGAGGTTAAGATATACAGAGAGAGTTAATCTTATGGTCCCTGCCCTTAAAGATCTTAAACTCCAGTAGAGACAGAAATTAAAACACAAGTAATTAAAACACAAGGCAGAATATTGGATCGTGAGATTCTGTGGCTCTAAGAGGACAAGAAACAGTTCCCATTCCTCAACAGTGCTCAGCACGTAGTAGGAACCAATAAATATGTGTTTGCTTGAATTGAAAGAAAATCACAGAAATGTCACAAAAATTCAGGGGAAGAGAGTTCAAGAAGTCAAATCCAATGAAGAAATAGGGAAAACGTCAAGGAAAGGGGGCATTTAAGTTGCACAACAAAGGAAGAAGATAGTCAAGCAAGAGGGCAATGTAAAAACAAAACTGGGCCATATAACACAATGGGTAAAAGATATGGTCAAAAGATTGGATCTCACATGGTAAGCAAAGTTTGCTAAAATAGTATTCCTGAATGAATGATAGTATCTGAGATTCCCAGAGCATTCACTCAGCACCGGGACTGCACTCAGCTCTTCCCACGCCTTCTCACTCCAAAGTCCTTGTTCTTTATATGCGAAACAGTGTCCTACTTTGCTCACTGTATTTATTATGTAAACTGTGCTGTATAAATATTGTTGATTACAACAGGGAAAATGTCTATACATTAATTTGTGTTGTGACCTTGTACTGTACCCAGTCTACTTTTTCTTTTGTCCCAATGAATAAAAATTAAATAAATCAGCTAGCACTTAGTGTTATAAGAAAATAAGATTTATTAGCTTGCATTCTGAAGATGCAAGCCAAAATCTGTAAAATGTTCCAAAGCGAATTTAAGGATTCCCAAAAGAGACATATACTGCTATTCTTTTAAATTGTTCAGTATACATCTTTATATGAAAAAAACTGCCACATTACCAATAATCTAGTCACAAACCCTTTATAATTCACAAAATAGTGTTTTTGAAATAAATAACAAAATCTTACTTAAAACACAACAGTAAATCTCTAATAAAGGAACAAAGACTCTTCATCACCAAATAAATTACACCTAATGCTTCAATTTGGCCTCTATATTATATAATACTCTTAAGCCAGGTGTGGTGGCTTATGCCTGCAATCCTAGCACTTTGGGAAGCAGAGACAAGCGAATGGCCTGAGCTCACAGGTTCGAGACAAGTCTAGGCAACATGGCGAGACCTCCTCTCTACAATAAATCAAAAAATTAGCCAGACACGGTAGCATACGCCTGTAGTTCCAGCTACTAGGAAGGCTGAGGCAGAAGGATCCCCTGATCCTTTAAATAATCTTTAAAAAGGAGACCCATCAGGGACATTGAAAAGACAAAAAATCTCCGTGAAACATTTTGTTTAAATATGCTAATGCAGCATTGGAGAGATGATCATTTTTCTTGAACAATGAAGAGTAAAACAACACCTATTAAATTTCTTTACACTTCTTATACACAATGGGATAATTCAAAATTAAATGTCTTTTTTCCAAATTTTCAACTCACTGTTTCAGGCAGAGGTGTCTCACTTGGGCTGCTGGTAGAAGCACTACTTTTCATGTGGACTGGTTCCCTAGCCACAACCAGACACAAAGATCCAGTGGTTTGCTGTAACAATGCAATTGCTTGCTGATGGGAAACGTTCTGGTCCAGCGGCGTGTGATTAATGGCCAATATTTGGTCGTTTTCCTTTAATCTGTGATCCCTTAATCATACAAGAAAAGAAATTTTTGTTTTAGGTGATCTAATAGGCTGATTTTTAAAATTCTGTTATTCAAGTTAGGTAGTTTGTTGTTTATGATACTATTTCACTTCATATATTTATTCAAATCATTATTTAATTATATAACAGAGCTCTTCCGAGTATTTTTCATCAAAGCACTTATTAACTAAGTAGCCAGTTAAGTAGTGCATCCCTAAACACACTCTCTCTCTCTCTCTCTCTCTCTCTCTCTCTCTCTCTCATGGGCACACTTTAAAAACCATCTGGCCAAGTAAATTTTTTAATAAAAAAAACAGCCAGATGTGGTGGCTCAAGCCTGTAATCCCAGTACTTTGGGAGGTTGAGGCAAAGAGGATTGCCTTGAGCCTAGGGGGTTCAACACCAGCCTGGGTAACTTGGCAAGACCAAGTACAATAAAATCAAAAAAATTAGCCAGACAAGTAGTGCGTGCCTGTAGTTCCAGCTACTTGGAAGGCTGAGGAGGTAGGATCGCGTGAGTCCAGCAGCCCAAGGCTGCGGTGGCCGTGAGTGTGCCACCGCACTCCAGCCTAGGCGACGGAGTGAGAGACTCCAACTCAAAAAAAAAAAGAAAATCCATAGCAATTACTTCCAAATCTTTATTTGAGCCCTTTCATGTCTTCCAAGTGCCAATCTTTCACCCGCTAACCAAGGGGAAACCAGGGATTGTTTTTAAGAGAAATTAGCAAAATCTCTAAAGAAAAATAGTATTTACCAAGCACTTATGAGTCAGGAACTATGTAAAGTGCTTTATATGCAATATCTCCTTTAATTCTTTTAAAGTACTTAGTTAAATTTTACATATTAAGAAACAGAAGCATAAACAATACTAGAATTTTGTCTAGAGACTCTGAGTAAAGCACAGTCTTTTATTTTATTTTATTTTTTTTGTTGTTGTTGTTGTTTTGTTTTTTTTGAGTTGGAGTCTCACTCTGTCACCAGGACTGGAGTGCAGTGGCCACTCCCGGCCACCGCAGCCTCGACCTGCTGGGCTCCGGCGATCCTTCCACCTCAGTCTTCCAAGTAGCTGGAAC